TTTTGTTTATATAAGGATTTACAATTCTAATGATGATATACTTATTTTTCATCATAGTGAAAAGTTTCTTTCTGATCTTACTTATAAACGTTGGCATTTTTACTGAACTACGTTAAATATTTTGTATTTTCTTATTTTACTCCTTACTTTGTCTGATTGTATGCATATTGATGATTTATTTTCTTAACATATATATATATATATAACTCACATGTCAGTACTTCCAAGCAGGAGCATCCTGAGATAAGCAAAGCAGATAAGAAGCGTCTTTGCAGAGGTCTAGACTGCCAGAAACTCTCTTCCGAAGTACGTGCTCACGCTGTGAAAAACGAAAGGCTGCCATTGAGAACAGTTGTCCAGGTCCTGTTTTTCGACCAAGAAGGCAGTTCTAGAGCTCCTAGCCAAAAGCAGCCGGCAATGGAGCTCTTGTCCAGAGGAAAACAGACAGACAAACCGGGTGTCGAACATGATATAAGTAGGCTGCAATTGGGTTCAGATGAAAGAACCAACAAGGCAGATGGAACAAGGAGAAGTTCAGTTCCTGAAACCAGTGCAAGAGACAATCATCACAGAATGAAGAGAAGTGATGAGAAGATGCTGCTGGTAGAAATGGAAAGAAAGATGATGAGAGGAGAGATTGATGAGATTGAGTTTGAAAAGGGAGTAAGAGAAAGTAGAGGAGAAGGTAATTCTGGGATCAAATTGGACCCAAAGAAGATATTACAGAGGGGAAATAGATCAGACCAGGGCCATGAAAAAGGCAGAGACAGATAGTATAAATTGAACAACAAATAACCCTTCTGTTTTACTTTTTTTTTTTTTTTGGCAATTTGTACTAATTGCAATTCTGGTTTTCTTCTTTGTGTTAATAAATTTTCAATTTGTAAAACCAATTGAAAAACAAACCCATTGTGAATTATTAGTGTAGAAATCCCAAAATCAAATAATTATATAATCAATTTAAAAAAATTATATAATATATTTCGATTCAACTTAATATTTTTATAAAAATAATAAAAATACTAACTATTCAATAAAAAATATTTTTAAAAAAATACTTAACATTTCAATAAAAACAAATATAAAAAAATAATTCAATTTAAATTTATATTTTTATAAAAAAAATAAAAATATTAATATTCAATTAAATAAAAATACAAATAAATATAGAAATACAATTCGATTTAAAATTACATTCTTTTAAAAAATAAAAAACAAAAGTATTATGTAGTCAAAGAATGTTTAAAAAAATAATAATAATCAGTCGCTTAAATATAAGAGAATAGTTCGATTTAAATTTAAATTTTTATAAAAAAGATAAAAATATTACGTAATTGTAAAATATTTAAAAATAATAATAATTAATTTTCAAATTAAAATAAATATAGACAAAATTAATTACTTTTCAAATAAATTTTCTAAAAACTAAATTTATTTAATTAATAAATAACTTAATTACTTAACAAATTAGCTTCCAATTCTTTAAATACAACGGTTATATATATATATATATATATATATATATATATGTGTGTGTATGTACATATTTATATACACACAGCAAGGCATGCTGACGTCACAGGGTCAAAACACAAAAACCCATGTAACTGCCTTCATAAGAAGCAGCAGGGTGCGCGTGTTTCTTTTTGGAGTGAGAACACATGAAAAGCACAGCACAAGAAGACATCGATACCAGCTAGAGTATAAATGTTTAGTACCGTTTAGACATGCGTTAGAATGATCATGACCGTCCATCAAAACGATCACAGCCGATAATCAGGATCCACTAGCTGCCACGTGTACATGAGATTTCCCCCACCTTGGCTTCCATTTTTAGCTTGACAGAAAAAACCTGCCTTCTTTTGTAATTTCACAATTTCCTTGGCCATTGGCAGCAGCCATTTTGTGCTTCATCATATATATACAAGTATGTGTGTGG